AAACGTTGAGAAAAGGTGCCGCCACTCGTCATAAAAATACTTCTCACCACGTTTCATCAAACTTCATAAAAAGGTGTAAAAAGAGTTGAGCAGACAAAAACACTGCTGACAAACAACCTTCAGGGGTGGATAAATTCAAGGTAAATAACTGGAAAGCTAACTTGTGTTCATTTTCTGCTTAATCTTACTGTAAAGTGTCCTTGGGTGTCCTGAAAGGCGCTTTTTAAATAAAATTATTATTATTATTATTATAATCTTTATACAAACCTTTATATTAAGTGTCCAGATTCAGCAAAATAAAACAATTGTACCCAACATGCTGCTCACACTCTGGTGCTAATAATATGACAGACAAATACTTTCTTACTATGTTTTTCTGAGGTAAGACATTTACCGTATTTTTCGGCCTATAAGTCTCAGTTTTTTGCATAATTTGCATGCCCTGCAACTTATACACTGAAGTGACTTATTTATGTTTTTTCCCCCATAGTTATAAAACAATTTTTGGCTGAGATATGACCATTTTCATTCATTATGTCTGAAAATATCGACCACTACCATTTTCAGCCGCTAGATGGCGCTCGAGTAGTATGGCATGCCGTTGTGTCATGTAATAGGTAAAAGTGACTATTAATGACACAATCGGCTTGCCATACAAAGCCACGTTCGTCCAGCTATGGGATCATGCCTGGAGCAATTGTCAAATCAGCTTCATTTTACTCCATCAGGCCGGCGAAATGCAGCTAATTTGATCATTACAATGCATTTTTTAAGGAACGGTTCAACTGAGACACACCTTTGCTATGATGTCGAGCAAACAAATAATTGTTTTAGATGGTTAGCTTGTTAAATTTTGAAGAAATGCACAGTGAGTTGTCCCTCTGCGCACTCCCGCAGCCGCGAATCGGCTTTTGAAATGCAGCTGATTTGACCGTCAAAGTGCATTTATTAAGCAAAAGTTACACTGAGACACATCTTTGCTATAATTTTGAGCAAACAAATTGTTTTTAAGAGTTAATCTTGTTAAATTCATGTTAAAGTCCTCTCATGCACGCTCCCGCGGCTGCAATTTGGCAGCCAATCAATCTTTGGCACAAAACGAGCCCAGATTTCCAGGTTGTCAACGGTGACTCATAATAGATGCGACGTATATGGCGAAGCGACGCATTTATGTTTTTTTTCCCACTTTATTAGACATATTAGGACTTAAGCGACTTATGTGACTTATACAGCGGTGCAACGTGTACAGCGGGAAATATGGTACTTTTAAAGATATCTAATTGCATTAGTACTTTTACATAAAACTTTAAGGGTTTCCTTCTTCATGTCAATACAATATTAGTTAAAAAACAAACGATAATAACAACAATAACACAAAAACTCTTTTTTACAACTAGCTTGAACTAAACCTTTCAGTGTCATTCAGTGCTGCATGTAGTGGCTCTGAATTAACTCAAGTCTACTGGTTGTAGCTGGAAGAAAAAATTAAAAGCTGCCATTTTTCCCCTTCTAAAGTTCACCGTTTTCCTTTAATGGGAGCGGAGACGCTCTTAAATGAAACAGATTAGTAGAAAGAGTATATTGGATGCTCAGTCACCTTAAACAATGTGTTAGTTTAGCAACAGCAGAGCTCCAATTGCTCCGCGAATTAACACTCAGGTGAAATTAACATTTAAAATCCCATTAAGTGAAGGTTGGAAAGTAAGAACGTCATTTGAAGAGCAGAAATCCAACGGCGCAGGATAAACAAACCAGATAAACAGCACAGGAGAAGCCAAGCTGCATCTCACAGCGCTCCTAAGTGACACTGAAACAGTAAACATGAGTGCATCCTGCTGAAGCGCTCTGCTTTCACACCAAACAGCTACAATTAGCTCAGCTGATGTTCAGGAGAAGCTGAGGTCACAGCAGAGAAAATGAAGGCTTGTCCTGCTTCACACCGTTTCCTGTGTTTCTCGCACGCCTAACTAACAAACACAGGAGCCAACCCAGCGACAGTGAGAAGCAAAACTGTGATCAATGTGAAACTAAATGTCCAGATCGACGGTGGAGCCAGTTCCGAGTGCACCAGGTGAAATTCTGGCACGACCGAAATGAGCTTCCCGTTTGCGGCCAGTGTCTTAGGCTCTGAGCTTTCAAGGGGCGTCGGAGGCTCACTGCAAAATAGGAAGTGAGCCCTTGTTGGACACGTGTTCTTGTGTTGTGTGACAAGCTTAACGGAGCGTGTTCAGTTCACCTGACTGCTACATGGGAACGCTCTCTGGGCTGAGAACAGAGGCTGTTGAATCATCCCCTGGAGAAAGAATTGTGTCACTTCCTGAACCGCCACAGGACCAACCATGCGTTGTGAAACACACAATACCAAGTGAGATAGGACTTTTATGCTCTAGCCTTTAACCACAGACACAACCTAAAAATATGAGCCTGCAACTTCACTTTTCCCCTCACCCCCATTTGTTTTATAAGAAGCAAAGACATGCCTGCTGAGGGTGGAAACTATGCGTTTGATTTTCTCTTTTGTGCAAATGCTCTGTCACCCACATCCACACACACTTCAAACTTTACGCCACATCTTTAGGTAAAATATTCCTGTGCTATAACGGATAGTTGAGCTACATTTGATCCTGTTTTTGCCACCTTAAAAGCAAGAAAACTCTTCTCCGTTCCTCCATCAACCCCTCACTGGAGTTTTGGTTTGAAAGAATATTTCTGTGTGTTTTTCACAACTTTTCAGCTTACTTTGAGACCATTCAGCATATCCAAAGAAATGTAATCACTCCAGCTAAAAAAAAATGTTCAGGACCGTGACTGGGACTGTTCAAGATAGAGATTGGAGTTTACATCAGTCATATTGAAAAAAAAAATGTTGCAAGTATAATCTCTGTGTAATAGCTTACTTCTATTAGTTCTATTACTTCTATTAGCAAATATGTGCTGTTATCCATGGTGCTGATCTCATGCTGATCTCATGCTGCTGATTTATTTCATGCTGCTGTTCCTTCGTCCACATCTGCTCACACAGACTCATGTTCGTGCTGCTGCTGTTCAGCATATTTTTTGTACTATTAGTGCTTAGTGTATTCTTAGTTCATCTTAGATTTTTATTACTGTTTTTCTTTACAATTTATTCTTTTGTTGGATGTAACTGGGACCCTGTGTACACAATTTCGTTCCACCACATGCATCATATGTGGTGCGAATGACAATAAAGAACATTGATTTGACTTTATATCCATTTAGGCTTTATTGTAAATTCATTTATTTATTTATTAACCTTTATTTAATCAGGTAAATCCCACTGAGATCACAGAATTCTTTTGCAAGGGAGGCCTGGATCTGAAGGCAGCCTAACTAAGATATAAACTTCAACTAAAACAGTTCAAAGATATTCACCAATGGAAACTGATAAATACACTTTTCAAACCAACTAAACTAAAAGTTTGGGTGGTTAGGGGGCTGTTTGGGTCTGGCAAGAACAAATAAAACATGTTTTTAAAAACATTTAGAGCAAATAAATTAACAAATTACATTTAATTTTTAGATTAAAACTAAAATCTGGACTTTAAAAAGCTAATTCTGGACCAACTGTGACCCTGTAACACTTTAATAGCCTTTGTGCTAAGCTAAGTAGCTAAAGCTAAAGTAGCTTAAAGTAGCTCTTTAGCATAACGTGAATAAATCTTGATCAGTAACTCTACACATAAAAGCAAATGTACATTATTTTATATGTGAACACAGTTAATGTTTTACACAGGCTGTTTTGTTTTCAATCTTTGTGCTAAGCTAGGCTAACAGAAGACCTCGCATCATCTTTATACATCTTTTCATCATTAACTTTATGCAAAAATACATTTTTTGAATATTATTATGATGTGTCTAATAACCACTTTATTTTGGTGGGGAGACGTGACAGATTCTGTCTACTGTATTTTTCGGACTATAAGGCGCATTAAGCAAAACAAAACGGTCAGATAAGTCAAACTTTATTCAACTCATTCACAATAACTCAACATTGATCGGTTTGAGTTAAGTAAGCACATCCAGAATTAATACACAAGGTGCACTGGATTAGAAGGCTCACTGTTGATTTTTGAGAAAATTAAAAAGGATTTTAAGTGCGCCTTAGTCTGAAAAATACGGTAAATTTAAAGTAATCCTGTCAAACCGTGGTTATTGTAACTCCAACCCAAGCCCGACTGAAAATGAAACCTCTAATAAAATTCAAATCAAAACACAATTGTCTTAAAGAGGAAAAACAAAACAACAGCCCGACACAACTCAAACTTCAGTCTGCTGGATGACGGTCCAGCAGCTGACAGTGTTCGGTTTTTTAAGATTTATTTTCAAACTTTTACATTTTCATTTCAATTTATAAACAAAAACCTAAAAAATAAAAATAAAAAAATAAAACCTTCAAACCTTAGTTTCTTTCAGCACACTGACAATGAGTTTTGTATGTAAAATAAAGGAGCTAAAATACCCTGAAGCAGAAACTTCAGATCTTCGGGTTGATTAGAGCTGAGGGTGCAGCAGAACCGTGACGCTGCTGGCTATAAAACCAAAGGAAGGACTGTGAAACTTTAAACGCTGTCAGACTTTGGGGAATAAAGCTGAATCCTTTTGAGGTTTACTACCAATGACAAATATTTTTCACATCGCATGGGGTCTTCTGATTGCCACGCTGGCGATTAACGCCCTATTCAGAATCATTCTAGACTAAATGATTATTACGCTCTCTTTTATAAGAAGAAATACTCGCATGGACTCATGGAGATGCGTTTGTATTTCCATTAAATTGTAAATATAATAAAGTGCAAATAAAAATTATAGCTAATTCTCATAGTCATTCTGTTTTACATAGATTTTTTTCACCTCATGTAAAAGCTCATGAGAAAAGTCGTGTTCCTGGTTGAGTTTTAACAAATTACAATGATTTCCCTCCTGAAGATTCAATCTAATGCTTCCGTCTCTCCCTCCTCCCCTTTGGGACGCTCCCCTACCTGATAAAAGGCCCTGAGATGTCGATTTAAGATGGAGAAGTTCTGAACTCTCAGCATGTGGTCGTCTCTCTCGCTCTCGTAAAGCTGCTCCACCTTGGGATTCGGGTCTCTGCGCAGACACAGAAGGAAAAAAGAAAGAAAACAGAAACTGTGGTGTGACTACTGCAGCTTGATCAAACAGCCCAGCGCCCCCGTCTCTCCAGACGAGAAACTCTTACGCAACAGTTCATTTAAACAGACTGAATGAAATCTTAATGAGCTCGAGACGAGCAGGCAGCGAGAATCCACAAGCAATTATTTGCTGAAATAACGACTCAGGTCAGCCCAAATTAATCAGACGCTCCGCAAACACTAAGATCTTGTCTTGCCCGATAACAGACAAAGAGGTTTTCTCCTGCAGAAATTTGAACAAGATAAGAAATTCAGCTTCATGACTAACGAGACGGGCGCACTGTGCAGACAACCCCCTGCATTTCAGGGTTTTAGTAGAAATGTGTTGGTTGAGCATTCATGCCATCCCTTCCTCAGAAACTGCAGAACAATACGAGGTTATGAAAGGCAGAGTGATGAATGTTACGTCACGTTTCAGGCGAGGGAAGATCATTAGGATTTTGCTGCCATGCTTTCAACTCTGAGGCTGTGCTGACACAGAGGAAGGAGGGTCCACCGTGTTCGTCGTCTCTGCTCAGCGCTTTACCACGCTAACATCACGTATACACATGGGAGCCTTCTGTTAGGGAGGTATTATACAGTGTGTCTTAAGTGAAGATGTGCCGCATCGGAACTAATGTACCAGCGTTAATTAATAGCTCCATGTGTTTATTTAGTGTTCCCAATCCTCATATATGGTTAATATCTTACCTGTTGTAGATAGGTCAGTGAACAGCCTCAGTTTGGAGTTGAATTCTGACCAAATCTCTGTTATTTATCAAATATATGATTTAATTCCTGCCAGAGGAGCTTCAGGCAGCCATGTTACAGCTAGCTGCAGCTTTAATTTGTAAATATTAACCAGGGAGTACCAAGTAAATAATCCTGTAATGCAAAATAGATGAGGTATACTGGATGAAAATATAAACTCTACACTTTTGTTTTTGTTCCCATTTTTCATGAGCTGAACTCAAAGATCTAAGACTTTTTCTACGTACACTTAAGGCCTTTTTCTCACGAATATTGTTCACACATTTGTGTAAATCTGTGTTAGTGAGCACTTCTCCTTTGCCAAGATAATCCATCACCACGCAGGTGTGGCATTTAAAGATGCTGATTAGACAGCATGATTATTGCACAGGTGTGCGGCTGACCACAATAAAAGGCCACTCTAAAATGTGCAGCTTTATCACACAGCACAACGCCACAGATGTTGCAAGTTTTTAGGGAGACTTGAACAGCGAGTCCCGTTTTAGAGGCGGTGCCTCATTGTTCAGTCAACCTTCATACAGGTTAGTCCCACTGAGCCTCGGGGATAAAGTGTCGGTGAGTCAGGGCATCTACAGTGTGGTTAGTACGATAGATTTGTAAAGCAGATCAAACAATGGATTTGATCTCTCACCCATCGTCAGGTCCTCATCTTAATTCTTTTAAATGTTTTCACTCAGAAATTAGCCCAGAGGTTTAACCGCTGAATCCGTTCCATTCTCCTCAAACACAGTTTAGGAATCATGTTTCATTTCTGCGTTAAAAAGTGGAATTTTTTTTACATATCCGTCAAATGGCTTTACAAAATAAATGAAAAAGTAATTAAATTAGCTATTTATCTCTCTCTTTGGTCACTTTGACTGCAGCCTGCGCATGGCAGCAACTCAACAAAGGAACAAAATCTTTGCTAATCTTACATGAGCCTCATGACCTCGTTGAGGAAAACCCCATCGGTCAGCGTCGTGTAGCGCTCTCGAGCGCTCTTGAAATCCGAGTTCACTTCCATGTACTGGCTGTAGAGCTGGACGCTGCTCTCCGTCTCCACCATACACTCAAACAGCAGGACCTGCAAGACACCAGGAGAGATCAGATCTGCGTTTGTGTTTGTTTGCAGTCAAAAGGGTGAACTGAGGTGGATAAAGACCATAAGGGTGAAAACAGGAGCAGAAAATAGTTGCGGAAGGAAGGGAAGGAGGTAAAAAAGACGTTAGGGTCCAAATATTGTCACACAGGAAGCCGCGTGAGTCGGTGCACCTGTCCGAACAGGTGGGATCAGTGCTTTCACGCTGGGAAGCACTTCACGGTGACAGGCAGCCAACCAGGACAGCAGCCAAGGTCCCTCCGTCTGTTATGACATGTCGAACCAATGCAAACCAACATAGTGAGGTTTTCTCCCATCTGCACCTTCTAAAAACTGCACTGCTGGTCACAAACTTAACCTGAGTCAGCAGATAAGGTGAGGCAGAGCAGATTGATGACCCCTCCCCACAACCCTAGGTGAATAAATGGCCTGATAAAGGCCATTTAGCAAGTAATAACCCTCAGGCAGGTGCAAGCTGAACCAGCAGGTTGAGTTGTTTTTTTTGTTTGTTTGTTTTTTATTATAGGCCGGCGAATAGGCCATTAGTAAAGGCATCTGTAATGTTAGCAAAATATCCAATGAATTACTAGATGTATATTAATGAAACTCTTAAAGGAAAAGATTTTTACTGAACACAAATATAAACGCAACACTAGGCCTGTCACGATAACAAATTTTGCTGGGGATTGTCTCAGAAATTATTGCGATAAACGATAATATTGTTTGAAATTTGACAATAATTTGTAATTTGCTTTGCATGTAGTACTTTTTTTGACCACCAGATGGCAGTATAAGACTGTGTGAAATGAAGGATGGATAGTAAGGGAGGAGCAAAGTGTCTACAAAAAATGGGAGGGAGGCCCCTTGATGTGACATGGGCTGTCTCTCTTTGGTTCTCAAAATGGCGGACACTCTGTGTGGTTTAAGCTCTTTAACATAGCATTTTTCACACAAAGCTTTTAATTAAAAAAAATCAGTAAACAAGTTCTCAGGTTCTTTTTGCAAAGAAAAACAACTTTTTAGATGAAGACACGGGTTTCAACCTTGAATTTTGGAGCTTCGACAAGACGGAGGTTTTTCCCTGAGGTCGGCCTTTTAGCTTCTCAGATTAGCTGCTTTTAACGATGCAAAAACGCAATTTTGGATGATTAAAACAGATTTTAAAGAGAAAAGAGAAAGGGAGGGGTCAGTGAAGAGCACCGGAGTTGAGCCTTTTGTCATCCAGTGTCTTCAGTAGAAAGAGAGAGACACGAAGAAACAATAAAGCCAATAAATGAAAATGAAGTCGATAATTTTCATTTATCATGCGATTAATTGATGTATTGTTTATTGCAACAAGCCTACGCAACACTTTTGTTTTTGCTCCTATTTTTCATTAGCTGAACTCAAAGATCTAAGTTTTTTTTTCTATGTACACAACAGGCCCTTTTCTCTCAAATATTGCTCACAAATTAGTGTAAACTGTGTTAGTCAGCACTTTTGCCAAGATAATCCATCCACCTCACAGGTGTGGCATATCAAGATGCTGATTAGACTGCATGATAATCGCACAATGTGCTTTAGGCTGACCACAATAAAAGGCCACACTAAAATGTGCAGTTTTATCTCACAGCACAACAACGGATGTCACATGTTGAGGGAGATCTTTGAGTTCAGCTCAGGAAAAATGGAAGCAAGAACAAAAGTGTTGTTTATATTTCTGTTCAGTAGATTTACAGCTGACTAACCTTTGGAATCTGCCCCCATTCAAGATGGCGGTCACAGCTAATCAGCATCAGCAGAGGATAAGAGTGGCATGGTAGTAGCTGAGGGTGATTCCTAATGCCTCAGAAAACACCCCCAAACAAAGGATGGATTCAAACCCACGGCTCATACATGGAAGCGCACCACATGACCCACTGACAAAGATTTGGCAAGTGTTAAACGCCAGATACACTAGGTGGCTAAAATTCTGCCAACTTTACAGGTATGAAGCTAAACTTTGGTATAGCTGAGTCATCCCCAACACATACTCTCGAGCACCGACTGCACAATATCAAGTTTTAAAAAACTTTGCCATTAACTTCTGGAGTAGTCATCAGTAATCCCTTTCAAGATGGCCGTCACAGCTGACCGACAACAAAAAACAGAAATGGCTAAAATTGTGTATCCTAGTAGCCAAGTCATTCGCAACACATACTTTGTCTGTTAGCAAAATATCTCATGAACAGCTGCACAGATTTTAATGAAACATTTGGGATGTAATCAGATGTACATCTAGAATTGATTATTATTTAGGGTCGACCCAAACAAAGATGGCCACCACAACTAATCAGCCTCTGAAAACACATAAAAGACTACAACCCAGTCAGTTTTATAGATGCTGAATTAAAATTTGTCGTGGTAGTAGCTGAGAGTCAGTCACTACGCGAACTCTGGGAGCTACCTGCCTCGCAAGATCTTGCATGAGAGAACATAAATATGATAATACACAATAATAATAATAATAGGGATGCACAATATTATTGGCTCTTACAGCTGTTGCACAGTTGTTGTAGCAAATAAGTCTAAATAAGAGGACTATGTTCTGACAAAGGAACGTATATAAAATATCGGTATCGACATTGGTTATTGGCCAAATAAGTTTTAACATATCGGCCAAAAATCCAATATCGTGCATCCCTAAATAATAACGTAAATAGCTTCTACAACAGAGGAATCAATTACAAAAGGGGACCAAAAATAAAAACTTAGTCCAAGCCACGGGCCAATTTCATTCAACGCCAGACATTTTTTCTTGTTGGCAAATTCATCAACAAAAGATCAGGTTCATCTGAGGTTCTCTGTTGCTCCATCAAAATAAACCCAACATTTTTCCTGGCTTCAAAGATAGCCAGCTGCCACGAGAGATCAGCACTAAATTAAAGTATTTATTTGTATTTTTTAAGCAAAACAAGAAGTGATAAAAATTTTCACATTTAAAATGTCTTCTTTGGAGGTCCAGATGAGATGTTAAAAAAGGGCCAGATTTGGCCCGCAGGCCATGATTTGACACATGCGATGTATAAGCTTGGATTAAAATGAGTACAAATCTATCCCTTCGGATCATAAAGTGATCTCAGTCTGAAGCTCTGGCATAAAACGCAGCAGGAGACCTGCATTCTTGCTTTCTATCTGACATATGAAAGAAATATATGATGCTATAGGAACCCATGGTGTTCTGGATGACTGAGAATCCACAGCAGCAGAACCATCCAATGAGCCCGTCCCCATCAAAGTTTCAGCTCAGACCAGAAGGATACAATCCGTAGTGGTGTTGAACTCAGTTACCAAAACGAGCCAAAATTTAAAACCTTTGTCCGAGACATGGGCCACTTTCAGCTGATGCATTAACTCGAGTCAGATACCCGAAATCTTTTCTCCGTTGCAGGTTCACCAAGAGTTTGATCCGTCTCATTTGACGTTCTGTTGCTCTTTCCACATTAGAATCAATAATGACGGAATGATCCAACCTTTTATTCTGACTTCAAAGTTAGCCAGCTGGTAAGAGATGTAGATACGAAATGATGTATTTATCAGTTTTTTTAAAGAAAAAATTAGAAGAGAGACAATTTTACATTT